GCTTTCTTCAGTTGGGATTTCAGTTCCTTTATTTATTTTTTCTTGTCTACCGTATTTGTTTTTTCCAGGTTCTCTATTTGATGCTTGATTACATTGATCTTCTTCCTTGAGTTATTTTGGAAATTGTTGTTCCATTTTAAGAAAGCTATTGTGTAGTTTGTAATTTTCTTGGTTATCCTGAATATCTTTGATCCATCCACCATAACGTCTTATGCATTTCTAATGACTTGGTATATATCTTCATGTTGCATCCATCTCTTGTCAAAGAAAGATCTCCTATTCTGAGGGCTATTGTCAATCATCAGCATGCTGTGATTTGAACCATTGTTTTTCACATGGTAACATTTAACTCTGTCAAAGGACTGGAACTAGTTTAAACTACATAGAGTTCTATCTAATCTTTGCCTCACGTGTCCCTTATTTTTCCAGTTATTACACCAGATCGAGGGATTATCTTCAAATCCTATGTCTATGAGTTTATTCTCATCAATGAAACTTCTAAAATTCCCAAAGCTCCAATCCTCTCTTGCCTTACCTCCATATTTCTCTTCATTAGATGTAATGTCATTAAAATCACCTGTTATAATCATCTACTTCCCCATAATACTTTTCTCTTATTAGTGGCTCTCAATTGGTTCCTTTAAATTTGGCCTTGACAACTTGCATAGATTCCTATAAACCACTAATCCAGTTGTGTTTCTGTATCGACCACATGTGCTTCAATGGTTAGAGCTGACTGATTTATCTTCAATATTTTGACATCATTGTTCCATATTAATACCATACTACCTAATTTCCCAACAGCATCCACAACAAAGCACTCATCAAACTTCATTCTTCTTTTCACCTTTTTTGTGAAAGCAGTCTTTTTTTTTGTTTCACTCAAAAAGATTATGTTGGGGGAGAGAGGGTTGTTAACCTCCTTCAGTTGGGAAATTGTCAAGTGACTTCCTCCACCTTGACAATTCCACACTAGTGTTCTTATATTGGTGTTGAAGACCAGATTGGACTGGCCTTCACCCCTTCTTCCCTGTTGACCTCTTCTGTCTTATTGTCATTAACTTTATTCTTTTCTGATCTTAATCCTCTACTTCTACCTCCATCATATCTTTATCCCTTAAGTTGAATTTTCTTTTCTCTTGCACTTTCTGTTTGTTGTACTTCCCATTCAATTCCTTCAATGACTGTTTTTTTTTTTTTTTTTGCTGGTGATTTAATCTGTTTGCTCATTCTCCTTTCTTTTCTCATTGCAGCCATCCTTATTCTTCCAGAGGCTCCCTCATCGATCATTATTTGGTCCCTCTCCTCATTCTGTTTTTTACCTTCCTCTTCCTTTTGACCCTTCCCATTCCCTTCCTATTCCTATTCTGACCACTTTGCCTCCCATGATTTTGCTTATTTTCCTACTTTCCTTCATTGTCTTCTCTTTCTGTAACATTGTTTCTAATTTTCAATTCATACATTCCTTCCTATATGAGACTCCTTCTAGAGTATTGATCACTACTAACATCATTCTGACTAGTTCTCTGAGTGGGGTTATCTATAGGAGCCTTTTCATTCCCCACCAATAACTGCTTCAACTATCCTTTCTCCCACTCCTTTCCAATCCTCTCTTTAACATTTGTTACAATAATTGCCTTTTTCTCTATTGCACTAGCATCATCTATCAGAGTTTTCATTATCTACCTCTCTCTTCCTCCGAGGACCCTTAAGGCACTAATTTTCCATCCTTGAAACCCTAAAGTACCTTGACTTTGTTATACATGCTTGTTGTATAGGACTTTTGAGGTGACACTCTCCCTCCTCTAACTCTTATCCAAGAGCCATACTGATTCTCTTGTTGCCCTCTCTCAACTGTCATTACTGTTTTGCAGTTTCTTTCACTGTATCCAACAACATCACATTAACTTATAGCAAAAATCTGGACACCATTCATACTTGAACCTAATCCATTTCATCACACCATTGAGTTTCACTATCGATCCCCTCATTAAGGGTTGTGATATGTCTTCCATTATCAACAGCTTAATGTGCCTTCCTTTTTTTCCTCCACTTTATGAGATGATAACCTCTTTTACCTTATTGAACACAGTCCCAAATTTTGTTCCAACCTTTCTAGATACCCAGTGAATTGGCAGGTTCCAAACTTGTACCCATAGTGGAGCTATGTTAAATGCTGAATTGTCTTCTTCTGTTCCCTCTTCCCATTCTTTCAACACCAGAATTTGACTATCTATGATCCATAGTCCTCCATTTAAGATTCTAACTATGTCTTCTTCCTTTGGCATACTGAACTGGAACAAATTAGGCCCTAGTTCCACTATCTTTATCTCCCTAGAGTAGTCCCAGGCTATAGTAACAAAAATTTTGACACCCACATAGTTAACTATTTTTTTCCTCATTATTCTTCCCACTAAACTGGCTTGACTATCCTTTATTCCCGAGCCAGTGTCTCCTAAATCCAAATCCAAATCTGTCCTTCCCCAACTCTCTGCTCGAAAGAACAAATTTTTGTATTCTTCCTACTAGTTCATTCTCCATAGTGTCTACAAAAGTTTAACACAGTATACCACACTTCCTCTAAATGGTGACTAGCTAACTATAAGAGTATTAGAGTAGAAAATCAGGAAGAAACTGACACTATGCTGCTAAAAACAAAGAAACAACAAGAGACAGAGCACAATGTACAACACTAAAGGAAACAGAACACTACAGCTACCTAACTATCATACTAAAGAAACAAACAGAGGTGCAGAATTTTAGCTTCAAATTTACCTGTCATCAGCATATGACTAAGTACAGAGCTTCGTCCTTTTACTGAATGATCAATAAACTACCACAATAGCTTTTAATTCCCATTACCTTCCTTGATTTAATCTCCTCAGAGCATTGAATATATCTTCACTGAAGTTTAGAGCTTGGGCCTTTTGTGTTTTTGAATTTTGTGTTTGAATTTTTAGAACTCTTATGAAAGAGAGAAATCAATGTACACTCTCCAAGATAGAGAAAGGAGCTCTAATAATTAGCTTGTATTTGGATACGAGATTATTTTGAATTTTTTAAATGATTACCGTAATTTTTATTCTTTTTTGGTTATGTAGTGCATGTAAAATAAAAAATAGGATCGAAAATGATACTTGTGAAACAAGCAAATAATTTTATTTTATTTTATTTTTTGCAAATAATGGCCAATCAAAACAGGGATTAAGGCCTATGTTTATGTGTGCAGTGTGCTTAACTTTACAAGGTGGTTTACTTGGTGTTTTTTTTGCTTTTCTTATCCTTGTTTTATCATTTAGGGACAAAAACATCCGAAACTAGACTTATAGAAAGAAAAATCAAAAAAAAAGAAAAGAAAAAAGGTAATGAAATACTACTGACTTAACTAAACTTTTACGTTAAAATGAGGATCACAGAATTTTCGTTTGGATTGGCTTTTTAGAATTTTTAATATAAAAAAACTTACTGTAACTAATTTAATGTATATGAGAATAAAAGGCATAAATGAAAAATGTGTATTACGAAAAATGGTAAAAATTTTCTATAAAAAAATCACAATCCACAACAAGATAATACAAAATACACTTTGACAGATCTAAAAAAAGAATATTGAAAGTAATTAGCAAGTGTACTTGAAACATTATGCGATATTTAGATGATTGCAGGCCGTCAATTGAATCATTTTTCTATCAGTATCCTATATAAAGTATATCAAGGCAATGGCAAAGTTTGCCATCTCCTCTTTAACTTACCTAATAAATAAACATTTGTTAGTGATTTTTGGGTCTGTTTAGATGGTGTGGTTTTTGGTGTGTTTGTCTAAAACTTACTGGAGCTTATTGTAGATGTTTTATGATATATTGGTGTTTGTCCAAAACACCTTTTTCCCTCTCCTTGTCCCTCTCTCACCTGCCACCCCTCTCCTTCTCCCCTTCAATCCTCCCCACCACCTCCTAACCACCACCTTGATCCCTTACCCCTCCTAGGACAGGATGAGTGAGGGGGTGTGGCGGTGGAAGGGTGGAGGTGATGGTGGGGTGTTTTTGTTCAGTATCTATTTTAGGTGTTTTGGGGTGTTTTTAGCAAGTTACTATAGAAGGCGGTTTAAAAGAGAAAAATCTTTTTGAAATGCTCCAAACAGGGGGTGCCAAACAGAGGCTGCGATCAGATGGGATGGGGGAGGCGGGGGAAGGGAGGGGAGGGGAGGAGGAAGGAGGGGGAGAAAGTGGGAGAGGGGGGAGAGAGGAGGGAGGGGGTGGGTGGTGGTGGTGATGGGTGGTATTATTTTCAATTTTCAAAAAATGCCCTAAAACAATTTTAAATTCTAAAATATCCCAAAATACATCATCAAAAACACCTCTAAAAACATCTAACTATCTACAGTAAAAGTTTTTCACATATACCGCCATAGAAAAATTTTTGAAAAACACCCCAAAAAATACCTAATTCATGTGGAACCTACCTCTAAAAACATCTAACTATCTACAGTAAAAGTTTTTCACATATACAGCCATAGAAAAATTTTTGAAAAACACCCAAAAAATACCTAATTCATATGGAACCTAAGACCTTCTATTTTTGGTTATCAAACATGTCTGAACATATTAAGGTTTGAACCCATTAAGCGTTGAATTGAGTTGTCAAACAGGGCCTATGTAAATGTTGTCTATTTATAGACCCATTAATTAGAGTCAATAAAGGAGACTAGGGCCTCATTAATTTTGGCATTGGATCTTATATTGCTTGCCAATATAGTACTTCGTTTATGGAAGAAAAGAGAACAAAATGTAGTATTTTGTTGCTTAAGGTGTAGTAGCCTATCAAAGTGCCTCTCCACTTGATTGCTACCTGACATAATTCTGTGAGCTTCACCTTTGTTTTTGTATGTTTGATTTTTTTCCCTCTGGTATCTGACGAACCTTTCTGTTCTGTATAACCTTCTAAACTTCTGTCTCCTTCCGCTTCATTCATGTTATTCGTTGAATACTTCGCTTTGACAGGATATTGAAGCTACAATTCATTGTGCAGAGTGGCTCTCGATGGTGGGTGGTTCTAGCACAGGAGACCAAAGAATCAGGTGCCACTACATATCAGTTCTACCTTTCTGAAATTGTTAGAAAATATCAACTTATGTTGTTTGTCTTAACTGCCTCCAATGGTCACTGATTTTCAGAAGGTCTAAGATACAGTAGGAATTCACAATATTGAGATTGGACCTAGTTTCCATGTTAAGTTTGTCTTGGAAAGAACATTAGTAATCTTAGTGGCGTTCCTATATTCTTGTGTCCTCTAATAGTAAACTGTGGCTTCCTTTTGGTTGTATGAGCTAATGAAATTAGTCATTCTGTTGCTTGCATGTCTCCAAGTGCATGTCCTTCTTGTTTATATGTACTTGGTAATTTGAAGCCTTCAATCATGTGTGGGTGATATTATTGTTGAACTAATAACGACTGTAAACACCTTTGAGGGCTGTGGTTATCCCATGTTAATGCAATTCATAGCTTCTTGGGGTTGGTGTTGCATCATGTGAACATCATGTTGCATTTAAGTGCTATGGCACTCTGTCCTGAGTAATTAGAATCCTGAAACTCCAAAAAGTTTTGTGCTTTTACCTTGTGATGCTATGATCAAGTCAGGTTATTTAAGAAGAGGAAAGAAACTTCGGCTTTGAATGATACTTTTGAAGAATTCTTTAGGGTGGGAAAGGACACAGAAGGGGTTTTAAAGGTGTAGAGTACCCTTTTAGGTTATTGAACTGGTTTTTGTTCTACATACTTCTTTTGGATTTAGCGAGTCTACCCCAGTTGTGTTGAAGTTTGGATGGATGTTGTTTGGCAGATTATAGGCTGCTTCAGAGTACTCATTCTATGCTGGCATCTGCCCTTCATAAACAAACAAAGAAAAAAATTGTGAGTGGTTTAAATTGCCTTTGTGGGGGACCTAAGGTTGCCTGTTTCTTCTGAACAACTGAGAGATGTATAGTTTGACTTTGTTAGTTTTAGGGATTTCTTATATGAAGCTATTTGTGGATGTTGGTATACTGTTTTCTAGACCATGTTTATACCAAATGAGTGAACTAGCTATGGAAAACTAGGTGTGGGTTTGCTTATGAAATTGGCTAGAAAACACAAGCATTGAACTAAAAGTGGAGAAGGGTTTATGAGTTGCTTAGAAGCACTCCTGGTTTTAGGGCTAATAGGAATTTGGTGTTTGATTTAGGCCAGGAAAAGTGGGAACAGTAAGACATTAATTAGTAGCCAAATGGACAGGTAAATTTGTAAAAGGGATGAGGCAGAGAATTGGGGTGCTTTTGAGATGTTCACCTTCTCAGGAGAAAGATCACTACATGTCCCATGAAATATTGCTTGTATCATTTCTGCTGCTTTATCAGAAATATTGCTTGTACTAGCATGCACATTTTCGAGATAAGAACTTCCTTACTTTTCATATATGATAGATATCGAAAGAAACTAAAAATGGGATTGCCACATTTTATCATTTGAAGCTTTGAATTTCAAAGGTTAAAATGGAAAAAAGGAGTTAAGGAACAACTACTTCAGAATCATTTAGATGTGCTTATCAACTAGGGCTTAATGGTCCTAAAATGTTTGATAGGACTTATAATTTTCCAGAAGGATTAAATAGGAATGAAGGACTAATTGGTGAGGTTTTGTATATCTTAACTAAGTTGAAGCATAAAGAAAGGACTTTTTGAAATAATCTGTTGTATGTCAACACTTGTACGCTTAATTTGGTGCAAATTCATTATTTTAGATGATATTTGTTGGACTTAATTGGTTGTACCTTTTCTTCTGTAATATACCGAATACTTTAGTACCTTCTTTCCTGGTATGGTGTAATTTTACTTCAATTAGCCACATCATATGCTTCATTATTGTTAATCTTTTGGTGCTTCTCTGATTGTAATTGCTTCTTTTACACATATGATAGCAAATTAGGTTTCTTGTTATGTAGTCAACTTTTGCCATTATAGAGGGGTTATTGGGATATATTGGGATATAATGGACTGAGTAAAACCCTATTTTCTTTTTCTTATCGGATTTTTATTTTCGGTCTGATTTTATACATGTGAATTAACAGTTTGTGGGGTTTTAACATGTGAAACTAAACACTGTGAGATTGGCATCTATAGTAGGTAATAATCTTCCATGGACATTGAAGCCTAACATTTATGCTTATGTAAGCTGTTGACTACTGATTATATAAGCTATTTAGGTGACTATGAACTTTAATGTGACTAGTGAGGTTGCTTTCTGTTGATACAGTCATGCTTACAGTGTGAGACAGCATCTAACTTCATTCACTATAATTTTCTTTACCTGAAATTATACCTGAAATTATAACAGCTTTCTTTTAGTTTAAGAGCAACATGAATACTTGCATTGTTACTAAAACATCAATTTCAATGCTATTTTTCCTGCCACAGACGTGAGGAATCATTGCCTATGTTCAAAAGAAGGCTGTTGAGTGACTTACTAGACTTTGCTGCCAGAGAACTTCAGGTTCAGGTAACCTCATATGTTGAACTCCAGTTCCTCCACTTAAATGTCAAACTTTCTCCTCATACTGCCTTGTTTTATTTTGTTGTTGGATATTATCCTGTGGTTCATTTATCAAGGGATTGATTTTTTTATTAGGCCCTTTTAAGTTGATTTTTTTCAAGTTAAAGTAACTTTCCTTATTATTTTTTGCATGAAAATAGAAGCCCAACTAATGATTGTACATGCATAAGTTCTAATTCAGAGTAAGCAATGTGTTGATCCAGTGAGCTTCTCTGCGTTAAATATTACTGTAAGCTATGGCATATTTATTCTCATCCATCAGTAGAACAATTGGTTATCCTAGGAAGCAGGTAATGCATGCGGGACATGTTTACTCATGTAGATCTATAGTTAGGCTTCTATTTACTCATCCATTCACCAACATTACTGAACTTTGATTCGCTAGTAATGACTCACGTGCCTTGCTCGTGAATATATTTTTTCTAAAATATCAAACCTTTAATATATTAAATTTTTGTGCAAAACTTTGATTATTGGCATAATATAAACTAAGGAACTATATAATGAACAAAATTAAGCAATTGGTAATTGTACAAAGCAATTAATAGTTAATTGTGCATTCTTCAGTTATAAAAACTCTGAAGATGGAAGATTATCATATTTAAATTAAGTTGTTGGTATAATATTGACTAAGAAACCATATAATAAACAAAATTAAGCAATTGCTAGTTGTAGAAAACATTTATTATACACAAAGCAATTAAAAGTTTATGGAACTCTAAAGATGGAAGATTATCATATCTAAACTAAGTTGTTGCATATTTTACTTGGATTGTGACAATAAGAAGAGGAAATTTTCTATGTTCTGTCAAACGAGTGTATACAACAAAACCTGAGCAAAATACATACTAAAACACTATGATTTGGATACAACAAATTTTTATCAATTTCAGTAGTAATAAACCTTTTCTGTTATATTTGTTATAATTATCGACAATTTTTTTGGTAGTTTTCTTAGTCAATATGACATAATATAGTGAATTTAATCATCAATTTAACCTTTTGTTTTCTCTGTAACTGATTACAACCTTTTGCCTTCTTATTAATTGTGATTTTTTTTTCTAAACCAATATGCATATAAAATATAGTTAGCTTTAATTATCACACATAAGAATATAATAATTAGAGATAATTTTAACACATACATTAATTGGAGATGAAGAAAATGATTGGTGAATATAGTTGCAAATGGACAGTTTTTAATTTTAATTACCATTTGAGATGTAATTTATTGAAACTTTTCATTTTTCTTATTAGTGTCATGATTTGAAAGTCTCTCTCTCTCCTGTGGGGTAGGAGGCAGGTGTGGCACACAATGATTGTGTGATATTTGTTCATTTCTCTTCATTTTTCCTTTGTCTTTTTCTGTTTCAAATATGTTAGATCATGATATTTTCACCTTTGTTACCTTTATGCCATTTTTCTATCTTTTTTTTGTCTTATCCTATTTCATTGTTTAGCCTATTAGGCATAGCAGATAGTGTAAATTTTGCTGGCATGTCTTTTTAGTATTGTCTTGCTGCCAACTTGCTTTCTTAACTTCAGAGACTTAGTAGTGAAGTTGAGGTACTTGAGCATGTTCTAAGCTTTTCATTTGTAGCAGACTCAAGTTATTGCTGCGGCTTCTGCTGGTGTGGCAGCTGAGGGGCTAGCACCCAAGTTAGCAAAGTTGGAAGCTGAAAATGCTGCGCAAGTTTCAGTGGCTTTGGTGGAGAATGCTATTGTGATCTTAATGCTTGTTGAAGATCATTTGCGTTTGCAAAGCAAAATCTATACGACTTCACGCTTCCCTGCTGTCTCTCCTTCTCCTCTCTCAACTGTTTTGCCTGTGGGTCACTCTTCAACTATAGTTGGAGAACCTCTAGAAACTCTGGCTGAACGTAAATCATCATCTGGTGATTCTGCAGGACTACCTTTAGATGTATGTATGAGCTATGTGGCTATTCATGCTGAATGCTTACTATGTGTTTAGAGAAACTATGTGTTTTTTTTTTTTTGGGTGCTTTTGCCTGCTGTCAAACTTTAAAGCTGCAACATAGTGGTTTTCTGTTTTAAATTCTGAGACTTGTTCCTCGTGAGCACAAATGATAGGATGAGTTTATTTCATATGCCGTTATGAATATTGCTGTCCTCTAGTGATTGTCTTGCTAATCTTTTATGGGTCAGACATTATATGCTGCACTACAGGTTTACACAGAAAATTATCCATTATTGAGTGGCCTTTATAGCTTGAGACTCAAATTTCTAGTTTAGCATTTGTTCCAGTGATTTGCCGAACATTTTTTTTTCTTTTCAAAAGTTAAATGCATTTTTTCTTCCTTTCAACTTAGGTTCTTGCTTCTATGGCTGATGCCAACGGACAACTTTCTGCAGCTGTTATGGAACGACTTACTGCTGCTGCAGCTGCTGAACCTTATGAATCAGTTGCCTGTGCTTTTGTGTCCTATGGAAGCTGTGTCATGGATTTAACTGAAGGATGGAAGTACAGGAGTAGATTGTGGTATGGCGTTGGCCAACCTTCCAATGCATCAGCCTTTGGTGGTGGTGGCAGTGGCAGGGAAGCTTGGAAATCAGCGCTGGAGAAAGATGCAAATGGCAATTGGATTGAACTGCCTCTGATAAAAAAGTCTGTTTTCATGCTTCAAGCTTTGTTATTAGATGAGTCTGGACTTGGTGGAGGCCTAGGTATTGGAGGAGGTTCTGGTACTGGAATGGGGGGCATGGCTCTGCTTTACCAGTTACTAGACAGTGATCAACCCTTCTTGTGCATGCTTCGAATGGTGCTTGTTTCGTTGAGGGAAGATGATGATGGTAAGGACAGCATGCTCGTAGATGTGGAGGATGGCTCATCAGAAGTTTCACGTCGACAAACAAGTAATATTGCATCTTTTGACGTCAATGCTCGAATGTCATCAAGAAAACCGCGATCCTCATTGTTGTGGAGGTATTTGCTATGCTGGTCCTGTTTTTATTCTACCAGTTCTTTCTGTTCTTATTTCTAGTTGATGTTTGTATGTACTTATTATTTGTTAATCATGTTTCCTTTACTTTGTTAAAATTTGTAGCTACAGTCTTTCTAAAATGTTTGCTTTTCCTATTTCTTGGTGATCAATGGCTTTCTGCTACTTCTGGCTTATTTTCACCTGCCCTTCATGTACCAGTCACAGTAGCCTTGAATCCTTTAACTTGCAAATTTCAGTGTCAGGCTTTTTAATCTGTAGGCTGAAAGTTGCATTATTAGATATGTAAATCAATATGCACACTTGTTGCTGAAGCTAAAAGCACTTCCTTTTACACATAATTCCATCTACAGTCAGGACCGTACAATCCACCACCATCAGTCTAATGTAACTAAATGATGAGTATTACTGGAGATCATGAGGTAGCTTGAAAGTAATTAATAGATTAAGGGGAAAAGGTGGAAGATCATATTCTGCAAGTTTTCAGCATCATTTCTTTTTTTTCTTATCTACGAGTGAATCCACCTGTACGTTTTGTCTCAGCATTCTACGACTTGTCGGAATTGAATTTTGTTTTTCTTGTTTAGTTCAGTCTGTGTGAGGAATCATACGAGTGACTTGCATCTCTTAATCTTTTTATTCCTTTCTTATCCTTCCTTCAGAATGTAGACCATTAGTCCCAAAATGTGCACACTTGGGAAATAAAAGGCTTCTTGAAGCATTTGTATTCTTTGATATTTGAGGAAACATAAGTAAAAGGTCTCCTGCTAGCCAAATTTTGGTGTTGCACTATTGCCTCCAATTTCGGTTACAGAATCTGGTGACTGTATATTTTCACTAACTTGGCTGTGATAAAGGACGTAATAAGATGCGTAACACCTTCAACTCATAGACTTTTTATAAATTGTCCTTTAAACTTGATTGTGACAGAAGTATGGGAGTGGTTGCTTAGTTGGAAGCTTTAAATCTGAACAGCATACTGGGAGACTTGTGCAGCATTGTGTTCAATTGCTTAATTAGGCTTTTTGATTTGTTTTTAATTATTTATTTAATTACTGTTTATTTAATGACATGAATTTGATGATTTAGTTATTAGCAGGACATTTTGTTCAGCTTTCTTGCCTGTGACTTGCCAATTTTTTCTTTTCACCAAATCCATGGTGTCAAACTGATTGTCACTCAATATGTACAGTGTGCTCTCACCTGTCCTCAACATGCCAGTTTCTGAGTCCAAGAGGCAGAGAGTGTTGGTTGCAGCATGTATTCTGTATTCTGAGGTCAGCCCTGCAATATAGTTAGCTGCTTTTGTTTGAATTGACTTGATGTCATCTTGGGGTGCTGGGGTTCAACTGTCATTGCTTCTTTATGAGAACACAAGCATTTGGTTCACTTTGTTGTTTTTTGGTGAAAATTGCATGTCTATTGCAGGTGTGGCATGCTGTCAGCAGGGATAGAATTCCTCTGCGTAAGCAGTATCTGGAGACAATATTGCCACCATTTGTTGCTCTTTTAAGGAGGTGGCGACCCCTTTTGGCTGGAATTTATGAACTTGCTACTGCTGATGGTTTGAATCCTCTTGTTCTAGAAGACCGTGCATTGGCTGCAGATGCTTTGCCTATTGAGGTAGCTGAACTAACCTCTGCTATATCCTAATTTCAATTGGAAAATTCTATTTTGATGTAATTTGGGTCTAGACCTAAATGCATCATAACATGTTTTACCCTCTGCCCTTGAAGAGCGCTTCCTCTTCTTTTACAGTTGAAATCAATTCGGTAGGCTTCTGGTAGTAACAATTTCTAATCCATTTTACATTATGGTGGCTGCTATATTTGTTGAAATGCTATAACATTTCCTACTTTGGAGTTTTATAGGCCGCAACTTATCATTCCTGCTGTTCTCATTTGATTATTTAACTTGATTTTAGATTCTGATTATGGAAAAATAGTTTTTTTTTTAAATATTTTCTTTGACTTTTGCATTTGGGTGTTAGATTTTTATAGCCGCAAAAGCTATAATCTGAATCTACCCAATAGTAGCTTTAGCTGGTTCTGATTTTTCTTTACAATCATGTTCCATAATCAGCTTTGCAAAATGTACAGCAAAGGCGAATGTGTCCATATCAGGAGTAATTGATCCTTTTCATAAATATTGTGTAGAAGTTATCTTCCCAGCAGAAAATTACTTAAAATAAATAACTAAATAAATAAGAGTCGATGGCTGGAGGGAGTTGGTTGTTTTGCACTTTTGTCACTTATCATGGTTATTTACGACGACACATAGAAGAGTTACAGGGAAGTCAGTCATATTTCAATGGACACATAGCAAGTTGGAAGAAAAGCTTTTTTGAATCATTTTTCAGTTTCTGAACCAAGTTTCATCCATCTGCTTCCTTTTCTGAAAGACATGCTTTTTGTAGTTTGTTACCACAAAGGGACATCTTGTTGGTTGGCAAAGCCTTCCTCCTAACAACCACAAATTTGTCACTTCAGTCTTCCCTTCCCCCTCTCCTTGGCCCAGAAAAGTAGGAAGACAATGTAGTTCAGTATATTTTCAACAATGTCGAATAATTTTCACCCCAAGTTGCCAATGACAGCTGCTTTTTGTTCAGCAAAAGATGTGCTCTCTCTCTCTCTCTCTCTCTCTCTCTCTGTCTATCTATCTATCTATCTTTCTATCTATCTCATTTAATCAAGAATTCTGGTAGTTGCTTTGAACATATTAGTAGTTAGTATCTTTGAATTTAGTCTTCTCTTTCCCGACATAAAAGGAGATATCTTAAATTCTTTGCTAATGCATAATCATGTAATATGCAATTCTTCTTTGTCATAGACTTTATCTTTCCTAGTAATTTGTTATATGATTATTTACTTATCTGTGATTCCAACAATCGTAACACCTTCATATTATCTAGGCTGCTCTTGCCATGATCTCTCCTAGCTGGGCTGCTGCTTTTGCATCACCACCTGCTGCTATGGGTTTGGCGATGATTGCTGCTGGAGCTGCTGGTGGGGAAACAACTGTATCTGCAACAACTAGTCATCTCAGGCGTGATTCGTCATTGCTCGAGCGTAAAACAACTAGGCTTCATACTTTTTCGAGCTTTCAGAAGCCTCTGGAGGCACCTAGTAAATCTCCTGCCGCACCAAAGGACAAGGCTGCAGCAAAGGCCGCTGCATTGGCTGCTGCAAGAGATCTTGAACGCAATGCAAAAATTGGTTCTGGAAGAGGTCTCAGTGCTGTGGCAATGGCTACCTCTGCACAGCGTCGGAATAAGAGTGATATGGGGCGTGTAAAGCGATGGAATGTTTCTGATGCCATGGGGACTGCCTGGATGGAATGCTTGCAGTCAGTTGATACAAAAGCAGTTTATGGCAAAGATTTTAATGCCCTATCATATAAATTTATTGCTGTCCTTGTTGGAAGTTTAGCATTAGCAAGAAACATGCAAAGATTGGAGGTTTAAATTGTGTACCTTCACCTGCTGCTTCCTTTTTCTTTTTCTTTTTTGTCGGCTTTCTTTAAACGAAAGAAATGTATATGTGTTTACTATTTCTTCTTGTGTTTTTCAGGTTGATAGACGCATGCAAGTTGAGGTAATTTCTCGCCATCGTCTATGCACTGGAATTCGGGAATGGCGGAAACTGATTCACTATTTGATAGATATGGAATGCCTCTTTGGGCCTTTTGGTAATCGTTTGTGCAATCCGCAACGTGTATGTGACTGGACTTAAAGTTTCATTCATCTGATTCAATTTTTACCTCAGACATGTAACTAATACTATTGACTTTCAGATCTTCTGGAAGCTGGATTTTATGGAAAGTTCTTCAAGGATGAGGAGATACTTGAGAAGAAATTACCATGGATCGGATCATTTTGGTGCTGCTGCAAATTATGAAGAACCGTCAGAGCTGAAGCAAGATAAAGATAGTGTTGTAACTCCATCTAAGGCCTCTATGTTGGCTGCAGAGGCTATCTCAATCGAGGTATTGAATGCAGATGATGACCAAGAGGACAGTGCCAATCCTGGGGGTCAGTCAACACACACAAACCTGAATGGTGACATTCAGTCAAGGATAACTGAAACTGCAGACCAGCCCCTGAGGACATCTTTGGAGTCAAGAGATGCCCCTGTTACAAACAACCAAGATTTGGCACAAAATCCAGCCGTAGTTGCCCCAGGTTATGTTCCAAGTGAACATGATGAAAGAATTGTCCTTGAACTTCCTTCATCAATGGTTCGCCCACTAAAAATACTAAGAGGGACTTTTCAAGTAAGTTCAACATATCTTTATCTTTAATAGCAGCATATGGCAACTAGGAATGTATGTTGTTTCTACTCACATCATAGTTTGCTACAATGTGTATGTGAGCTTGGTGTATATGGTTGAGGTAATTAGAGAATATATATTTAGATTTGCACATGTAGAGCTAAAGATAGTAATTTTTTGATGCCTTGAAATATATCTCTTGGAATCTTAAAAGGTTCCTATATGGTCATCCCATTTCACTTCACTTTTGGTATTTAGGACAATGTACTAAGCAGAATTTTTGAGCAATGTAGGACAAGACAAGGGAAGTGATTTTTCCTAAATGATACTACTGTTAATGGATTCGTTTTCTCCATTGGATCTGCCATATCTATGTTACACTTGTATGACAGACCAAGAAATACAATATATTTTATCTTTATTCTGATCTGTCCAACCTTGATGTCAAAAATTCCATGGATATTTCTCAAATTGATATGACATTACCATTTGTCGGTATTTTATTTTAGGCCTATTACATAGGCAATTACGATGCTTAGAGAAGGTAAAGAATTGTAATGCACGGTATAGTCAACCTATGCACATTACTCTAGGATGGAGCACTTTGAGGTTGGATTTCAGGGTTTGGATGCATGCATATGAGGATTATCTCATATTAATTGTGCTAATTGATGAATTCATGCTCTTTTTCAGATAACAACAAGAAGAATCAATTTTATTGTGGATAGCAGTGAGAGTAATACTTCTGGGGATGGGTTGGACTGCAGAAATGAAACAAAAATTGAAGAAAAGGATCGAAGCTGGTTAATATCTTCTCTTCATCAAATATATAGTAGAAGGTAAGATGTCTATAATTTTATTTCATGTTTTACCCTATATATGCTGCAGCTGGACCATGTCCATTTGCCTCTATTGCTTTCCTCTAACCCTGTCAATATCGCAATATATTAGTCGCAGATTTCTAGTAGAGCATCTAAAATGATTTTGACGTGTTGTGCTCTTTTTCTTTCTCTTTTATGTCTTTTCTGATATGTGTGGTGCATATCATAATTTGTTGGGATGCCATTCCTCGATGACACTGTTCACATAGCTATTTTCTTTAATCTCTAATTAGTATTTTGCTATCTTGTATTCATTTCCTCCTCCTGTTCTCTCTCTCTCTCTCTCACACACACACACACACACGTAGCTTTATCTTGTTAAAGCAGTTACACTTTGATGCATTTTTCTTTCCCCATTGTTCTTATCAAATAAGTGGTTCATTATCATCTTCTTCCTTGTTCTCTCTCTCTCTCTCTCTCACAATTTGATGGTGACACTCTTTTATCATGTTTTCGATTTCCTTATTTCTTTTATTTCTCTCTTGCAAAATTTGTTTAGAAAGTGGATTTATGCACCATTTACAATGTAGAGATCTCACTTGTGATCTTACTCCTATTCAGATATCTCTTGAGAAGAAGTGCATTGGAGTTATTTATGGTTGATCGTTCAAACTTCTTCTTTGACTTTGGGGTACTACTTTTGAGAACATGTTTGCTTCAATACTTGAACCCCTTACAGACTGTTTCCAGCTAATTGGTCTCTAAATTGGTTCATTTGTTTCAGAGCACAGATGGAAGACGAAATGCCTATCGAGCTATTGTTCAAGCTCGTCCGCCTCATTTGAACAATATTTACCTGGCAACTCAGGTTATCTTGTCTTGCAGTATTTATCTATTTATTTATTTCTCACCTCTTGTATGATGATAAGCTAAAAATTCCTGGTTGTACTGATGATTCTGCAGCCGCTAACCTGCCCATTGGGCAATGCAACATATGCTCTTCCTGTGCTATGGCATGATTGTGTTATGTGGGCTTGAGCACTCTTAAACATGTCTATACATGCCGGTTGACACACGCACTAACCGATAAAAGAACACCTGATTCTTGTTTACGGTAGGGACTAAGACAATCCTCTTCTTTTGCAGAGACCTGAACAACTTCTGAAGAGAACCCAACTTATGGAACGCTGGGCTAGGTGGGAGGTCTGTCAGAAGAATGACCCTTGAATAACACTTCATCTGACTAGGCTCTACAAACCGTGTCTCTTTTTCTTTTTTCCTGTTAAATTGTCAGAGAACCTGCTAATTGGTGTATCCTTTGCAGATCAGCAATTTTGAATATCTCATGCAGCTTAACACATTGGCTGGGCGCAGCTATAATGATATCACACAGGTAAAATCTTTCCTTCTTCCATTGGTGAAAATTTTGCTTTCTGACGTTTGTCTAAAGAAGTCATCTCGTTTCAATTACTAAGTTATGCTCCATCGTGCAGTATCCAGTTTTCCCTTGGATTCTTTCAGATTACAGTTCAAGCACATTGGATCTCTCGAATCCTTCTTCTTATCGTGACCTTTCTAAGGTGAAGTGCTTTCCAACTTTTGCTCCAACTTAAAGTGTTGCCTTTCCACCAAAATTTGATAATTTTCTATCCTTGCAGCCCATTGGTGCATTAAATGCTGATCGTTTAACGAAGTTCCAAGAGAGGTACTCCAGTTTTGATGATCCGGTGATACCAAAATTTCACTATGGTTCACATTATTCAAGTGCTGGGACGGTAGGCTTCCTTGTTATTCGTTATTCGGTTGTAACTTGGTTATAACTGCTGATTGTGGATTAAATAAGCCATTTTTACTTGGCAAAATAAACTAATGAAAAATATATTATTCCTTGAGCCAGACCTAGGCTCCAGTCAGATTGCTTAAATAATTTTACAGTTTGCTTTTCATCATTTCACATATATAATGCCAAACATGATACGCTTAATACACTTTCTGACTCTGACTTCAAAAGTGGCATGCTTGCATAAGAATTGCTTGATCCACCTGTAATTTTCATACCTATGCTTTCTTTATCCACTAAGCTTTTGACTTCTAAATGGTCTCTGCCTTTTTGTACTGTTATATATTTTTCAAAATTTCTACATTTTCACTGACATGTGCACTCAGATTTTGGAGCTTATGATGGTGGTTGTCTAATATGTTTTTTGAGGCTCTTTTAACAGGTATTGTATTATCTTGTTCGACTTGAGCCTTTCACTACCCTCTCTATTCAACTACAAGGTGGGAAATTTGATCATGCAGACAGAATGTTTTCTGATATTGTTTCAACATGGAACGGAGTTCTCGAGGACATGAGTGACGTCAAGGAATTGGTAAAGAATCTATGGGTGGAGTAATTTATTTGCTTTTCTTTGGCCATGATGTGTACTTGTTTGGCACATGTTTTGGTTTTGCTTAGTTGAGACATTACCGGGATATCATCTTTCAGGTTCCTGAGCTATTTTACCTCCCTGAAGTGTTGACTAATGAGAACTCCATTGACTTTGGCACAACACAGTTAGGAGAAAAGCTTGGTAAATTTTCTTTTCCATTATGATGTAATGGTAGGACGACTGACAGAATGATTAACAATATACTTCCCCATCCCTTTCTCACTACTTTTCTTTGTCAGACTCAGTCAGGCTTCCTCCTTGGGCTAAAAATCCAGTTGACTTCATTCAAAAGCACCGAATGGCTCTTGAGAGTGAGCATGTTTCAGCGCACTTGCATGAATGGATTGATCTCATATTTGGGCAAGTTTACTTTATTTGTGAAAGCTCATCTTCCTATTCTGTTTCTCCTTAAATGTAGTGTCTTGCAATCAATGGAAGCAACAATGTCTGGATTATAATACTCAATATGGTCTTCGGACAAACTTTTCACCATTCAGGTATAAGCAACGGGGAAAAGAAGCTATACAGGCTAACAATGTATTCTTCTACATCACCTATGAGGGAACTGTGGACATTGACAAGATATTGGACCCTGTAAGTCAATGCTGACATCATTAACTTATTATTTTAAGTTTTGGTGGTTCATTCTGTGAAGCAAGTTCTTAATGTTGCCATATTTCTTCAACAGGTACAACAACGTGCTACACAAGATCAGATTGCATACTTTGGGCAAACTCCATCACAACTTCTAACTATCCCTCACATGAAGAGGTTTCCACTAGCTGATGTTCTTCACTTACAGGTAATCTAAGGGACCACATTGCAAACAAAAATAAAGTTTTTTCTTTCCCCTTTTTTCTATCTAGGCAGCACAAAAATTTAATTATTAAGATTATTCCAATTCAGCTGCAAGATTCTTGATAAACCACTTTATTAGATGGTTCCCATCTTTATATAATGGAAGACTACCGTTTGATAAGACTGGAGTCTGAAATCTGAGTTCTGAAATCTGAAAATTAAGTGCTGAGAGTATTAAGTTGCTGAATTGATTAAGTTATTTCTGTTTAATAAGTAACTGAATTGTAGTGCTGAATTGAAATGTCGCAAAAATATTATGTTTTTATCTTTTAAAAATTGCCTTTGTTTGTGTATTTAGAGAGAAAGAAAAGTGTGTGTGTTTGAGAGAGAGAAAATAATGAAACAGTTTAGATTTGGTGATTAAGCGTGCATATTTGTATGGGAGAGTGTATAGTTGCATGCATGTGTGAACAGAATGAGAATGGGTATTTTGTGTGAGAGCATGTATGAGAATGTGTTATATGCATGAGAGCTATAGTATGTGTAGTCAATTCAGAAAATTCAGTGAAAATTTTTCACTTAAAATTTGTAAACAAATTAAGCAGTGCTTAGTACATTAAGTGGTAAGGCATTTCTGTTATCAAACATGCTGAATTCAATAAGTTGTGAATGAACTAATTTTCAGCATTTAAGTAGACTTATCAAACATGCCCATAATAATCTCATTTTGATTTCAATTAGGGAGATTGATTTCAATAAGTTCTGAATGAATTAATTTTCAGCATTTAAGTAGAGTTATCAAACAAGCCCTTAATAATCTCATTTTGATTTCAATTAAGGAGATTGAGTGAACTGCTGGTTTTCCTGTGGATTCGATAAGATTAAAGAGTTGAAATTTGAATATACCTGATAGGTGTACAAGACTAGTTGAGAAATGCTAAGAGCAATCTATGTTCTCCAAAAACCCCAGAGGATTTGTTTTGCCTGCAACAGCCACGACTTTAGTGTTCTTTTTGTATTGAAGATTTGAAATAACTCTATATCTTCTAGGTAAATGCATTGATTGCTAATCTGGTTGTGAGAGCTACAGGTTCAATGATACTGTCTAAACATCTCTGTTGCTAAAAGAATTTAAGCATCTTTTGCTCATTGCATGTGAAGCTACCAATGCATTCCTATGAAGAGCATGCATTCAAGTATTAGGAATTGCTAGAAACTGAGATACGATAAAATAAGGAGTAAATGTGAATTACTCCACAGAGTTTTCTGATAATCAGGTGGACCTTGAGCTATTTAAAACTAAAAGATTTCCGATATTATGTGTGGAAATGATTTGCACATAACCAAGAACAAATTCCCGAACTTATGAAAGTTTTTAGAATTTATGCATGTAAAAGTCACATCATTGATGATCTATGAACTATTGTGACCCTCTCTTTTGTTTTTATAAGGAAAATTTTAACATCAGGAAAGGTATTCATCTCAATGAACAAAAGGATAGTGGTGCATTGACTCTGTGATGTTAAAGTAGAGTGTTATGAAACTTGAGAGGAGAGCAGAGCAGTTTCAAAAGCTGTATGGGAAGTTTCTGAACCAAACTGAGTTTAGGAGATGTCAATTTATTTTACTCTAAATTGGAAAAAAAAAATAAACGACCAGAGGACCTGCACAGCTGCCAATCTTTAAGAGTAGCTGTCATCCTTTTTGTTCGACTAGCGGCTTACCTATTTAGTATTGGGTGTTATGTGGTCTAATTTAAAACTTTATCCAAAGCTTTTAAAGAATTGATGTTCTAAAATAGTTTTCAAGAGGCCTAGAGAATTATGCCTTGTGATCTTGTATTTGTCACAGGTCACCACTTTTTCCATAACTAGGCTGCTGCTCTGTGTTTACCACCATGCCCTTTTTGGAAGTTTTGATTTGCTAATGATTCAGTTGATTCTCTCCTAGCAGACAATCTTCCGGAATCCCAAAGAAGTTAAACCTTATGCAGTTCCTCATCCAGAACGCTGCAATATTCCTGCTGCTGCCATGTTAGCATCTTCAGATTCTGTTATCACTGTTGATCTACATGCCCCTGCTGCCCATATAGCGGAGCATAAATGGCAGCCAAATACCCCTGATGGTCAGGGGACACCTTTTCTTTTTCAACATGGGAAGCCTAATGCTAGCTCTGCTGGAGGAACATTTATGCGCATGTTTAAAGGGCCAACTGGCTCTGGGCCTGAGGATTGGCATTTTCCCCAGTCACTGGCTTATTCAACTTCTGGTATTAGTAGCTCAGCTATAGTTGCCATCACATGCGACAAAGAGATTGTCACTGGTAAGCACATTGATGTATATTGTTGTGATTTTGGGAAGTAATTTCTTTTTTAGTATAAAAGATAATGTGCTGTTGGCAATTACATTAAATATCATCAAATATGATATATCCTGTAGTCATATAGTAATAGTTCTATTCACCATTTTCTTCAGATCTGATTTTCAGTTTTTAAACTGTAAATGTTTACTTGGCTTTTCAGGGAGTACTAAATCTAAAATAAAATATTTAAGCAGAACTTCCTTAATGAATTAAATAGAAGTTCTCAATGCATTGTAATTGTGCCGAGGGAGAAAGGGACACAGAAATTCTTGATTTATGCAGAATCTACAAAATGCAGTCACGAGCTTGTTGTGTTACTTATTGGATTTAAATAATATCTCATTTCTTGTAATAGTCATCACCATAGTACTGATATTCCGGTGCATTTTTTCTTGGATCACATGCTATGGGCTTTATTAATGCTGTCTGACCATGATCTACAAGAAAAGCTGGACTAGTGTTATTTAGCGTGCTTGGACAGTGGTTCTAATTGGGCAGTTTGGAGAACTTTCAAGGGCCCTTCTTTCTCTACACAACTTATAGATCTTCCAGGATACAGTTTCAACCACTCTTCTTGGCTTCTAGTGATTGATTTTATTCTGTTTTATGTAGCTTACTTGATAACTTCCAATTTTTTTGGAAATTTGTTTAGGTGGCCATGTGGATAACAGTGTCAGGCTGATATCAGTGGATGGAGCAAAAACCTTGGAAATAGCTCGAGGACATTGTGCTCCTGTAACTTGCATGGCTTTGTCTCCTGATAGCAGCTATCTGGTGACAGGATCTCGAGATGCAACAGTTCTCCTTTGGAGACTGCATCGTGCATCCACTTCTCGCTCAGGTGGCACAGTTGAGCCATCCACTCCTTCAAGCACACCAGCTTCCACTAGCAGCAGTACTACAAACACCTTAGCTGAAAAAAGGAGGCATCGTATTGAGGGTCCTATACATGTTCTGCGAGGCCACCTTGGGGAAATATTGTGCTGTGCTGTCAGTTCTGATCTTGGAATTGTTGCTTCATGCTCCAAATCGTCGGATATGCTGCTTCACTCGATAAAAAAAGGACGTTTGATCCGAAGGCTTCGTGGTGTGGAGGCTCATGCAATCTGTCTTTCTTCTGATGGGATAATTTTGGCTTGGAGTAAACAACTTAATGCACTAAGCACCTTTTCTCTTAATGGAACTTTTATTGCCAGATCGCAACTTCCTTCTGCCTCGAGCATTAGTTGCATGGAGGTTTCTGTCGATGGGCATTTTGCTTTGGTTGGTCTAAATCCTTCACTGGATAGTGATGGAGTTTATGACAGCAGCACAAATTTGAAGAGTAAAGCCGGAAGTGAAAGTTTTGATATTGGATCAAATGAAGAAAACAGATTGAGTATTCCACTACCTTCAATTTGCTTCTTCGATCTACATTCTTTAAAGGTAAGAGTATATCTATTATGAACACGTTTACTGCTCCATCTTTTAGTTTCATGTGAGAAAATGTAGATGTATCATCCATTTATTTATTTTCCTCAAGTCGTGGATTGCAAGTGCAAGCATATACTGAAATTTATGAAGCAAATCATAATCTGTACTCAGACAATAGCACATCTTCGTCTACTTTTTAGGGGACATGCCATGTTGCAATGCTTTACATTAAAAGCACCTTGTCCTAGACTCAGAACTTGCATTATTGGTACTAGCATAGCATTTTCGTATTGTTTGCAGGTATTCCACAACATGAAACTGGGAGAAGGGCAAGACATTATGGCTATGGCTTTGAACAAGGATAACACATATCTTATTGTGTCCACAGCTGATAAACAGTTGATAATTTTCACTGACCCCGCTGTAAGCATACAAGAATTCTTCATATTCTCTTTGTGCTAGTTATTCTTTCCCTTCGTTTTTAGACTGAATTTTGTTCATGCATTATTTCATTTGAGCAAATTGGATTGTTGAACCTACCTTTCTGATCTGTGCAGAGACACCATATCTACTCTTGCTAACCATGTGAAGTATGAAATTTTGCTTTTAAACTTTCTGTGCACAAATTATCGGAATCTTATGTGGTTGTTTTTTTCTGGGTTGGTAAAAGAAAGGAATTTACGTATTCCTACTTTCTTTTCAATTCATTAGATTTGTTAATTACATGCCACCTTAAACTTCGGCACTCAGTTTAGGAAGGCTGAAATGTTCTTTCTCGGTAGCAAATCCCTATGCTGATGGAGAAAAGAAGATTTTCAAACTCAGTCAACAGCTTACTTGTTTGGGTCATGTCCTATGAGACTAGCTAGTATTTTCCATTTCGTGATTTTAGTACTTTCCATTATAATTGTCTCACTGATAGCTAACTTTCATTGAGCTTATGAATGCATTCAGTGAATTCTCAACTAGGCTCTGCTCCTTGTGACATGATGAGTTTGAAAGCTGTCATCAAGCAAAACTTATCTTTTTGTTCTCTTTGCTACCTGATTGTGTTTTCCATTGAACCTGCTGCTAGTTGATCAAATGCCCAATGGAATTTCTTTTGGTTCCACTTTGATGTCATGAATACTGATTCTCACAGGGAAAAATGTACTTGACTGTAATAAGTCATAATAGTTCTCGTGTTTGGATTTCTCGCAAGTTTTGACTGGAAAAGTTAGAGACTTTGTAGCCCAATTAGGCGTGCAGGTCACAACTCTCTAATAAGTAGCTCAGGTCTACCTGTTTGTAGTCAACCCTCTGGTATTTGTGGGTTGATCTACCAAATCCTTCGATTTTGTTGTTAGTTTTAATCATGTGGTTTATTCATCCTTTATTGAACATGAAAGTCTAATTATGGTTTCTAATTTACAGTTGAATAACACACACTAGAGGTTATGCCAACAAAAGCAGAACACTCACACACACACACTAGAGATGACCGGAACATACATAAACAAAAACACAACCTAGAGATGATCATGAAGTCATATTCATCAAACACTGAGAGGAAAAAAGATCTTTTAGTCATAGTATAGAAATCTTTCTACATTTTCTTTGTACAAGTAAACATCAGACAACTGACCTCCGTGGCCGTGCCTGAGTACTTAAATAACACTATCAGCTAGATGTTGAAACTGATGTAGTTTTGGCATTGTAGATACAGTTGTGCATTTGATTACTTAGTTTAAACTCTTTTTTTTCTCCCCGCCATGCAGTTAAGCTTGAAGGTTGTGGATCATATGCTCAAGCTGGGTTGGGAAGGTGATGGGCTCAGCCCTCTTATAAAATGAAAGTTTTGAGATCTTGTACATTGATTAAATTTTGAATGAGATGGATTTTATGCACTGCTGGATTTATCCGGACACCAGGGAAAAGTTTGCTTTACGTTGTACAATGTCCCATTCAACGGCTTAACTTGGCCATGCATCTGACAGAAACTGATCCAGCATTGTGCATTCATCAGTGGTCTTTGTGAGTGTATCATATACGTTTAAGAGGTGGGATAAGTACAGCTACAACAGGGTGTGACATAATACTAGATGTACCACAGGGCTGTTGAGGAGATTTTTTTGAGTTGGAAGTTTTGTTAAATTGAGGCACGAGAAGGCAGCCCTTGAGATGTGTATATTACATTTATTTTTTGATCTACCTTTTTTTTTTCGTTTCCTCTTTGGTATTCAAGTATATGAAAGTTATTGTTGAGTTTATCTTGACTACTCAATAGGGACCAGATCTAATCGCTGAAATCCTTAGAAATTTACTTTAGCTGTAGATTCCATTAAACGATTTGATTACTGTAGATTCCAGTAAACGATTTGATTATGTAATTGACTCGAGCTACTTTTTGCCTACGCATATTGAAATAAACTCAAAGCTGCAGCAAATTTGCTAAGATTTGCCATTTCACTGCTTGTATTGCTTGTTCTGGTCCTAGCTGCGTCAAACTTTGAAGCTCCTCTTGCATAAACACTTGCATAATGCTTCATTGGGATGGCTGCCCAAAATTAACTCTCATAATGCGGCTATGGCTTTTGATCACTTGATAGTATTAGCTTGTATTTTTTTTTCTAGAAACGATAAGTAATATTATTAATATTAGGTAAACTATACAATTGTTAAGCAAATGTCCAAGTCAGCTATACAAGTGCGCCTTGGCACTGAGGATGAAACTACTCCTCATCAAAACATATCCAGCTCTATCCTCAATTTGATTAATGGACAAAATAAATGAGCATTTTGCAAACATGGAGCATAAATTTCCGATGTCATCTAAATAAGAGTACAATGCCATGTCTTTCGAGTTGCTGGTCTGTATCATCTGCAGCAATTGCTTATGTCTAACCCTCACCTTGATCTTCTCCCATTTCTGCTCTCTTGCCTTGCATAATGCTAGCTTAATGGCCACTGCTTGATTCATGAGGTTGTTACCTGCCCTAGCTTCCTTGAGGGCCCATTGAGCTAGCACCTGTGTGTTATCACCTTCTGCCACTATTCCAACTCCCATCTCCCGGCTTCTGTCTTCTGTTTTGCTGCTATACTTAGATGAATGAGACCAAACCCTCCCTTCCTATCTTGCTACTTTTCTTCTGCTCTTAGTGTTTCCAGCATGCTCATCATTTTCTCTTGATCCTTAGCTTCCTTATATTCCAACCACTCATTATGTGCCTTTTGGACAATGTTGTTTTTTTATGTGGTCAAAAGTCCTGTCATTCCTAACTTTTCAAGTCTGTCATAGAATATTAGCTGTTATGGTTACTTGTTTCATGCCTTCGACTCTACACCTGGCTTTTGTTAGAGAACTCTCCCATTTCTTAAAGTCTCCTCTTTGATCTTCAAGCACGTCCCAATTCAATGGAGCTAAATGCCATATCTCTTTAGCAGTCCTGCACTGAAAAAATAGATGTTCAATAGTTTCTACGTCCTCTCCACAGCATCTGCATAGGGGTGATCCTATTTTGATTCTATTGAATATGACCTCATTCACTAGTAATGCTATGTTCAAACATTTCCACAAGAACAACTTTATCTTGTGTTTAATGTTGAGCTTCAACAAGACTTTCCATTGTTTATCATCCCTCAGACTTGACCCTTCCTTCTGGCCTTCTCTTTGCTGCATATGATCATTTCTATTAAGTTTATTGTAAATTGAGGTTACTGTGTGTTCTCCATTCCCACTGTGTATTTAGAAGAGACTAACTTCTTTGTCAGCCAAACTAATGGATATCCTCAGGATTCCCTCGGCTTCCTCATCGTTGAAAAGCTTAAATACAAGGGGCATTTTCCATCTGTAACCTTGGATCAGCTGTTCCACATTATTGATAGTGCAATCCTGTGGCTTAGCTGATGTTGGTGCTCCTTGAGTATCACTTGGTATCCACTTGTCCTCCCATATTTTTGTCCTCTTGCCATTTTTAATTTTTCTAAAGGTTCCATTTTCTACTGTGTCCCTAACTTCCATCAAACTTTTCCAGATCTAAGAAGAGTTCTGCTTGATTTTGCATATGAAGATTGACTCATAGGGGTAGTATTTGGCCTTTAGTACCTTAGATACTAGAGAATTAGGGTTTGTGGCCATCCTCTAAACTTGTTTTTCCAGTATTGCTCTATTGAAACTTTGCAGGTCCCTAAATTCTAGTCCCCCTCTCTTTTCTTTTGTTGTGTCATTATCTTCTAAGAATACCAGTGGATCTTTTTCCTCCCATTCTCCTCTCCTCACTAGAAATTGGACATCATGATACTTAGTTCTTTACATGGCCCTATTAAGAACTTGAAGCAGGATATTGTCTAAGTAGGCAGTGCCATGGCCACTACTTTAAGTAGAACTTCTTTCCCAGTAATGCTGAGAAGTTTATTCTTTCACTGTTTCATCCTTTTCTCATAGTTGTCTTTTATGAAGCCAAAGACTTGCTGTTTTGTCCTTGTAATGACTATTGGTAATTTCAGATATTTCCCTTGAGTCACTATTTAAACATTTCCAAGTTGTGAACTTATTCTCTCCTGTGGTTGTTGTGGTGCATTTTTGCTAAAGAACACTGAGGGTTTTTCCATGATAATCACTTGCTCTTGGCTTTCTTCATACACTTTCAAAATCTGCTTCAGCTTTTCTACTTCTTTTTTGTCTGCTTTGCTAAATATTAGGGTGTTGTCTGCAAAAAATAGATGAGTTATTGATCGCCCTTGTCTACATATCCTCATCCCGGTTATTCTCTTTTCCTTTTATGCTTTCCTCAATAGGATAATGAAGCCTTCAGAACACAACAAAAATAAATAGGAAAATAAAGGATATCCTTGTCTGATTCCTCTCTTAGGTGTTACATAGCCTTTGAGATCTCCATTGATATAGAAAGAGTAACTAACTCTTGAAACACAACTCATTATCCATTTGATCCACATTTCACAAAATGTCATTCTTCTCATAATCTCTTCCCAGAACTTCTACTCCACTCTGTTATATGCTTTTGACATATCTAATTTCAAAGCAAAAAACTCATGTTCCCCTTGTCTTTTATTCTTTAAATAGTTCAAAAATTCATGGGAGATAATAACATTATCTAAAATCTGTCTACCAAAGACAAAAACAGCTTGGTTTCCACTGATACATTCATTCAGGACTTTTTTGAGTCTGTTGGAGAGAATTTTAAAGATAATTTTGTATAGGGCTCTACAGAGACTTATTGGTCTATAGTGCTTCAAATTGGCGGGATTGTCCACTTTGGGGATTAGGGAGATTACAGTGTGGTTCAAAGATTTGAGTATCAGTCCAGTATGGAAGAAAGTTTGGATAGCTGGGATTATATCCTCCTTGGGATTACAGTGAGGTACCAAAATTTTTGAAAATATAAAGGACTTATCCCATCTATACCTGGAGATTTGTTAGGATTCATTGAAAAAACTGTTATCCTGATTTCCTCTTCATCTACTCTCCTAGTCGACACTCATTCATTTGGTTGGAAATGGTGTGTGGTGTACCATCCAAAACTTCATCTAGACATTCTACTCCAGGATTGTCAAAGAGTTGGTCATAATAGGTTGCTACCTCACTTCTTACCTCCTCTTCCTCTTTTGTCTAAGAACCATCCTCTCTTTGCAGATTCTAAATTATGTTCCTTTTCCTTTTCTCTTTGACGCAAGCATGAAAGTATTGTGTATTTTTATGCCCCTCCTTAAGCCAATTGCATCTTATTTTTTTTAGCTTTCTTCAGTTGGGATTTCAGTTCCTTTATTTATTTTTTCTTGTCTACCGTATTTGTTTTTTCCAAGTTCTCTATTTGATGTTTGATTACATTGATCTTCTTCCTTGAGTTATTTTGGAAATTGCTGTTCCATTTTAAGAAAGCTATTGTATAGTTTGTAATTTTCTTGGTTATCCTGAATATCTTTGATCCATCCACCATAACGTCTTATGCATTTCTAATGACTTGGTATATATCTTCATGTTGCATCCATCTCTTATCAAAGAAAGATCTCCTATTCTGAGGGCTATTGTCAATCATTAGCATGCTGTGATTTGAACCATAGTTTTTCACATGGTAACATTTAACTCTGTCAAAGGACTGGAACTAGTTTAAACTACATAGAGTTCTATATAATCTTTGCCTCACTTCTCCCTTATTTTTCCAGTTATTACACCAGATCCAGGGATTATCTTCAAATCCTATGTCTAAGAGTTTATTCTCATCAATGAAACTTCTAAAATTCCCAAAGCTCCAATCCTCTCTTGCCTTACCTCCATATTTCTCTTCATTAGATGTAATGTCATTAAAATCACCTGTTATAATCCATCTACTTCCCCATAATACTTTTCTCTTATTAGTGGCTCTCAATTGGTTCCTTTTAATTTGGCCTTGACAACTTGCATAGATTCCTATAAACCACTAATCCAGTTGTGTTTCTGTATCGACCACATGTGCTTCAATGGTTAGAGCTGACTGATTTATCTCCAATATTTTGACATCATTGTTCCACATTAATACCATACCACCTAATTTTCCAACAGCATCCACAACAAAGCACTCATCAAACTTCATTCTTCTTTTCACCTTTTTCATGAAAGCAGTCTTGTTTTTTGTTTCACTCAAAAAGATTATGTTGGGGGAGAGAGGGTTGTTAACCTCCTTCAGTTGGGAAATTGTCAAGTGATTTCCTCCACCTTGACAATTCCACACTAGTGTTCTTATATTGGTGTTGAAGACCAGATTGGACTGGCCTTCACCCCCTCTTCCCTATTGACCCCTTCTGTCTTATTGTCATTAACTTTATTCTTTTCTGATTTTGATCCTTTACTTCTACCTCCATCATATCTTTATCCCTTAAGTTGAATTTTCTTTTCCCTTGCACTTTCTATTTGTTGTAGTTCCCATTCAATTCCTTCAATGACTCTTTTTTTTTTTTTTTTGCTGGCGATTTAATCTGTTTGCTCATTCTCCTTTCTTTTCTCATTGCAGCCATCCTTATTCTTCCAGAGCCTCCCTCATCGATCATTATTTGGTCCCTCTCCTCATTCTGTTTTTCACCTTCCTCTTCCTTTTGACCCTTCCCATTCCTATTTTGACCACTTTGCCTCCCATGATTTTACTTATTTTCCTACTTTCCTTCAGTGTCTTCTCTTTCTGTAACATTGTTTCTAATTTTCAATTCATACATTCCTTCCTATATGAGACTCCTTCTAGAGTATTGATCACTACTAACATCATTCTGACTAGTTCTCTGAGTGGGGTTATCTATAGGAGCCTTTTCATTCCCCACCAATGACTGCTTCAACTTTCCTTTCTCCCGCTCCTTTCCAATCCTCTCTTTAACATTTGTTGCAATAATTGCCTTTTTCTCTATTGCACTAGCATCATCTATCAGATTTTTCATTATCTACCTCTCTCTTCCTCCAAAGACCCTTTGTCTCTCTTC